CTGCTCATTGCGACGACATGATTTAAGTTCAAGCTTGTCTAAATCTTTTTCGGATGGTTAGATTTTTTCCACTGTCTTTACTCTGCAACTTCCCAGCATTTATAAGATGCCCTTGACAAGCTTTTCTCGTTGTTGCTAGAAATGTTTCGTTTAAAATTTCAAGTTGTTTAGTTTACTTTCCGAGATTTTTTTCTTTCATGTTATTATCAGCGATTTCTTGGAGCTTCTGACTGACGATGCTACCTCTGCTAGTGGTGAGAAGAGTTATAGTAAGTGATTAATAACAAAAAAATCGAAGCTTTTTCGTCACTTTTCAATTGACAAACCTCTTCTCTTCACCCGTACTGTTTTTTCAGGTAGTAGACTTTGTCAAAAAATTGTGTCTGAAATCTCACCTAGTTCTGTTGTATTACTCTTAACTTAAATTTGGCTTGCTTCTAAGAGATTCTCGTTTTACTTTTGCAGAATTGAATAATCTTCAAATTTCAAAATATTTTTTGTTTTTGTTAAAGTCAGTGGCATCTCACGCGTTCGACTGCCTGTTTATAAATTGCACGGCAGATTATTGGTGAGGTGAGCTTGTACAGCAAACTGCGCTGAACAACCGTGTTTCAAGATGTGATCTATAGTAACATACATGAATTCTTTGTACTCCTTTATGTTTTTTTTTGTTCCCGGAAAGATTATCATCCATCTAGAATGTTCATTCCAGAACCAGCCTATGCTCAGTAGACAGCTTCAAAACGGACTATTCTTCTGCTTCAGTTAGATCACTGGTCAAGGTTTGACTTCATAAGTGTCTTTTCCGTTTGTTTTCTTCCGTGTAGAAACGTGCAGAATTTTCTTGAGCTATTTGCGTTAGGCGCTGCAACATCAAAAACTCTTTACAGGGTTATGTAAGAGTAGAAATCAGCTTAAGAAAAGGTGTGTGATTTAGACCCACGACTTTCCTCAAACCAAACCAAAATAAAAAAGTAGTCTGTTCTCAAAGCTTTGTAACAAACAGAGCAGTCCCAGGATGAATGTTCTGAATGGATGAAAAACTTTTCGGAAATATAGAAAAGGTAAAAAAAGAATGCACGTAATTCAGAAAACTGATCAGTAACTCCCTACAGAAGGCAGCATAATTAAGAGTCCCTTTTTGAAGCCTTTCAACAAGCATAAGCCGGTTTTGGGGTGAACATCCTAAATAGACAAAAAAATTTTTGGAACTCCTGCAGGTTTTTATAGGAAAAAAGAAA